TTAACGCCTCCACCTGGCGGGGTTCAGCATCTACAAGAGGGCTCACAGGACATGGCTCAGAATATTATCTGCATCCCTTGGGGAGGATCTGAAGCTCCTTGACTTTGCTTAATGACTATTAATATTTGGTCTCCTTTGACTGTTTTCCTTTGTTTCTGCATTTTCTCACTTCTCTGATTAAACTTATTCTTTGACTAAAGTTTCTCTGAAGCTGAAACTCCAATACTTCGGCCACCTGATGAGAACTGACTCATCTGAAAAGACCATGATTGCTGGGAAAGATTGAAGGTGGGAGGAGAAGGGGACAACAAAGGATGAGATGGTTGGATGGCATCACCGCCTCAATAGACACGAGTCTGAGTCAACTCCGGTAGTTGGTGATGGACAGGGAGGCCTGGCGTGCTGCAGTCCATGGGGTCGCAAAGAATCGGACACAACTGAGTGACTGAACTGAACTGAAAGTTTCTCTGCAGACAGAAGGCAGGCTGAGGACAGGTCGCAGCGAGGACCACAGGGTCCTGCTCTGTTTCAGCCTGACAGCCAACAGCTCCCAGCCAGGCTGTGGGGTTCTTCTGATGAATATAAACAGTTCCAAGGTGATTCACAGCAGACAAGGCCTCTCCGTGAAGCCTACGAACAGGAGATAAAGGGTTTGAATTCTGCCTGAGCAGAAAGAAACCCCAAGGCTGTTCGGGCACAAATCTCCCCTGCGTCCCAGCCCTGCTGGCCTCCCTTGTGACGGTGCGTCCCCAGGACAGGCCTGCCCTGCCCCTACAGCCCCCAGCCTGCACCCTCCCGGATCAAGGCAAGCTCAGCCACGACCACAGGGGCCCACTCTCCAAGCCCCAGTGCAGAGCGGGCCCTGACCTGGCCCTGCTGACTCCCAACAGGACCCCACTCTGCAGAAGGCCGTCCTCCTGTGGAGACGCCTATAGCCCCCGGGACGCTGTTTCCCCACCAAGCGAGCTGTGCTTTCAGGATTTCCCAAGTAAACAGGGGGGAGCTTGGCACGAGAGTTTAAACATGAAGCCATCCTTAGCAAAACAAACCAGGCACCAGTGGGATCCTTCTGACTCCCAGCATCGCTGTTCACAGTACATCATCTGCAGTCTGTCCCAGCGCGGCTGCAGCCCCTGGGTCCCATCCACGCGCCTTCCTCTGAAACAACGACACCCCCGACCCAGTCAAACGGGTCTTATTGTCAGTGACAAGCCGTCAGATCTCTGTTACTTTCACAAACACGGACGATGGGGGACAAACAGACCAACACTGTTTAGATCCCCCCCTCCACCCTCCCTTAGAAAGAGGAACAAAGGAAGGGACTCCCTGCACTTCTTGAGGCCACCGTGAAGCCGGAGACCTGGGCGGGGCTCATCTGGGCAGAAGCACAGGACCAGCGCCTCGGGCACCGAATCCCCCAGAGCCACAGGCACGCAGACGCCGTGGGAATTGATCAGACTGTCTCCCTGCCCCATCCAGGCACTCCTCACCCCACAAGCTGCTAACGAACCCACAGCTGTCAGTACACTCCTGAAGGGGTTTAAAAGCTCCCATAAACCCCGTGCTATTTCACGTTTTCTCCATAAAACGACCTTAGAAAGCAGAGGAGCACTCCCGTGTCTTCTGCCCACTGGGCCATCAGGCGGGGCTCCCGAGGCCCCAAGAGCCCCACGGACGAAGCGGGATAATAGCTGGATCCCTCCAAACCTGCTCTTTCCTCCACATCACCTGCCCCCTGGAGGTAAAGCCACTGACCCAAGTCCAGAGGCCCAGGCTTCAGAGCATCTAAAGTCCCCTGGCCGTGCACCCTGCCAGCGCCGGCGGGGCGGACCTGCAGCTCGCCCCCCGTCTCCTGCTGCTGCGGGTCCTTCAGCTCCACTGTCCCCGCATCACCTTCTCCCCCCGTTCACCAGATTCAGTCCCGTGTGCCAGCCGGTGTCCCGGACTGCCGCACTTCTCCAGGCACTGAACCGCGAGATCAACGTCTCTTCATTTTTGTGTGTGTTTGTTATGTATTAATTGTATGAAGTGTTATAAACACATCACAGCACAGCACGATCTGGCCGACTGTGTTAGTTGGGTACTTAGGCAAAGTTCGTTGGACTTAATGTGAACAAATTAGACTTAAGAATTTGCTCTTGAACTGGAACTTGTTTCCACGGAGGGGACTTGCTGTAGTTAAGATNTGCCAGCCGGTGTCCCGGACTGCCGCACTTCTCCAGGCACTGAACCGCGAGATCAACGTCTCTTCATTTTTGTGTGTGTTTGTTATGTATTAATTGTATGAAGTGTTATAAACACATCACAGCACAGCACGATCTGGCCGACTGTGTTAGTTGGGTACTTAGGCAAAGTTCGTTGGACTTAATGTGAACAAATTAGACTTAAGAATTTGCTCTTGAACTGGAACTTGTTTCCACGGAGGGGACTTGCTGTAGTTAAGATCTGAAGTCAGTTGTCCTTAAATTAGGACAATTATCCAGCTGGCCCAATGTTGTCTCAAGTCCTTCCCATGAGGCCTGGAGGTCAGAGACAGGAAGTCAGGAACCCAGGACAAGAGGTCACCTGCTGCTGCCTGACAGAGGGTGGAATGCATATGGAGATGGGGACCCAGCCCCCAAACCTGAGGAACTGAATGCCGCCCTCAGCCCGAGAGAACCTGGTTTCAGGCGAGAGCACAGCCCGGCCCCACCCCAGGCCAGCCTGCAGAGACCCCAGCACACGCATCAGCTGGCCCGTGGAGACTGTGAGATGATAAATGTGTACTTCTGAAGCTAAATTTGCATGGACTAGCAAAGAAAAACGGATAAGAGCCTGCTCAGAAGTCTCTTGCCTTCTTCACGGCTGTCGGGCCCACTAGGAAGCACGCTTTTCTACATGCGGAGCCAAAAGCGGGGCCACGTGGCCACGTCCCAGCATCTGCAGACGTGGCCTGGGAGCGCCGGGGGCAGCCCTGCCTACAGAGGGTCAGCCAACCTCCTGCCTGAACGCGGTGCTGCTTCTACGCCTGGTTTCCTTTTGATCCAGACATTCTCCCCCAGATTCTTACAGAAGCATCTTTTTCTGTCTTGTGCATTCAATGATTTAACCTTCATTAATGGTGACATGACGCTTAAGCAAAAGCCTAGCTCCCACTGTGCCTGAGAACATCTGATTCTAATCTCCTGACAGCGAGCAGGTGCCAGAGGCCCTCTGGCCAGAGATACCCCTGCAGGCCCCAGGGGCAAAGTCATATTTGTTAAAACTGACTTTTACCATTTCAAAACAAATTTCAAATGTTAGCTTTAAATATGCATCTGCTTTTTATAGAATCTTTGGGGAAAAATTTCAGAAAACCAAGGGACCTCAACCATTATTGGCCAAATAACTTCCAAAGATGAGATCGTTGGATGGCATCACCGACTCAACGGACATGAGTTTGGGTGGATTCTAGGAGATGGTGATGGACAGGGAGGCCTGGCGTGCTGCGGTCCATGGGGTTGCAAAGAGTCGGACACGACTGAGCGACTGAGCTGAACTTTCAAAAAGCAAATGTGCAGGAGGTGGTGATACATTTTGGTCCTACAACTGGACAATAACAGGAACCCCAGGGTGCTGACCTCTGACCTGCTTATCCCACTTATGTTTATCCACTCAGAGGGTCTCCTCAAAGTCCCTCCCAGGCTGTAGTTGAGAGCCTTTGACTTTGAAAGCATCTGGTTTGGGGTTTGCAGCTTCTAAACTGCTCCTTGCAGGTCTCGCAGCCAGGGTCCCCAGGAGCCACAGAACTAACTCAGGCTGCTTCAGGCAACATGCCTGTCCTTTCCTCCCCTTCAAGGTGGGGCCAGAGGGTTACAGGGCAGGGGGACCAGCATCCGCTCAGCCTCCAGACGTTGCTTTAATACTGCTGTGTGTCTGACAAACACACTATAAAAGGCAGAATTTTAGTCATTTTACTTTGTGTACTTTCCTGCCCATATTAAAGTCATAAAAGAGTCAGCAGAGCTGGTAAGATGTATTTGCTTTTGTCAAATGTTTCCCTGGTGGCTCAGCTGGTAAAGAACCTGCCTTCATGCAGGAGACGTGGGTTCAGTCCCTGGGAAGGGAAGATCCCCTGCAGGAGGGCATGGCAAACCACTCCAGTGTTCTTGGCTGGAGAATCCTATGGACAGAAGAGCCTGGTGGGCTACAGTCTACAGGGTCACAAAGAATCGGACACAACTTAGCAATAACAACAAGCTTTCTTAAAACCACAGGGAAGCCTCTGGTTTGCTGTTGACCGAGACAGCACGTCTCAGGCACAGGAGGGGTGTGTGGCTGACTCAGGGGGCGGGGGCCTTCTGGGCGCCTTCCTCCTGCAGATGCCTTGTGTTTACCTGAAAGCGGCCACGACAGGCATGAGCATTTCATCAAGGAAAGGGCTGTTTCCAAACCTCAAGCTCTCTTCCTGTGCTCACCCAGCCTCTACTCACCTTCTTAAGAAAGAAAGGAAACGCACCACCACTGTAGTCTAGCCTCCCTGACGGCCGTCAGCCACAGGTGACTTCTGCACTAACTCGGCGGGGAAAACGATAGCGTTTCCATGAAACAGTGACGAACATCCAGCCCTTAATGGTGAAACTGAAGTTACTACATCAGCCAGGCTCACAGACCAACATCCGTTGAACAGAGGTCTGGTCTAGGCTTCTCATTTTGTTAATGAAGGAAAAGAGGCCCGGAGGGCTGGTGAGAGGGCTTTTCTGTAACTGGATCCACCTTGGATGAGAGCGCAGTCTTACATTCAGCCTAATTCTGTTCGCATTTGAAACTGGAAATATGATTTCTTCTGCTAATGACCACATCTCAGAAGAGGGAACAACAGTCACCGCTAGACAGACCCACTCCTGACAAGTCGGCTCCTGCTCTGATAGTGTGTGACTATCATGAAGACGATCACTGTTTCTGCAAACGCTGAATCCACCGACCAGGGCAGGCACCTCTGGGTTTATCGGCGCGTCCCCCTCCAGACCACGGTCACACACCTGAACGTGTCCGCTCCAGCTCTGCAGCTTGAGACTCGGGCCATGGACAGAGGAAGTGACAGGGCGTCTAGCCAGCGCTTCTCGTATTTTGGTTCATTAGCTACGGGCGAGGAAGGCGAGGACGGAGCCTGTGCGGAACAGACGAGAATCAAGGGTCACAGGATCAGTCGAGAGCACCGGAAACAGGGAGGGGCCCTGACAGACCCCAACATCACGTCTGCAAACTCAAATTTAACTCGTTTCAGCCGCGGCAAGAGAGCGTGTGCTCTCAGAGCTCTGGGGAGAAATGAGTGCTCTTCTAGTTCAAAGTAAACTATATTCTTCATCTATTTTTTTAAACAAAATACTGCACCAAAGAGAGAAAAGTCTCTCTTTGGGAAGAGAGGAAGAGGCTGGGGGCAGAGACTGGCACTGGGAGGAACCCGGGGTCCTGGGGAAGGCTGAGTCAGACAGGCTGTGAGCTGCCTCCTGCACCCAGAAGGTCAAATCGGAGTGGGATTCATACATATTAATGTTGACAAGACCCTAACAGGTGACCAGTCACAAGCCCAGCTTATTAGCTAATGGCAAAGCTCTCAGCGTCTGTCCAAAGGGAGCGGGGTGGTTGGCAGGGTGGGGCCTGCGGGTAAGGGGAGTGAGATTTAATTCTTAGGTGGATAAGAAGCTCAGGGTCCCCAAAAGAGAAGAAAGAGGTCTGGAGCTCTCAGAGAGGAGGGAAAGACAAACTTTCTTTTCTACCTTCCTTAGTCTTAGTCACATAAAACGTTTTTTTCTTTAAGCCCAGAGCTGCTGATTATACAGCAAAACAACTCATCTTAAATTCTGTACCAGTGACTAGATAACAGTAAGGTACCCTGCTTGAGGACACGTTTCTCCTTCTTGAGAACCTTCCGACTGATCCTGCCATCTTAAAACGTAAATTGTGGGAGTGGGTCTGGTAAGATCTTTGCAACCTTGAGACCTTCTTTTGATTTACTGTAATAACCAACTGAAAAAGTACACAGCTCCCTTGCTAAAACTAGCAAGGGGGGCAGTCTCCACCCCCTTCTGATGTCTGTGTCAGAAGCTTCCTCTGTCCCTTGTTACACTTTAATAAAACTCTGCTACACAAAAAGCTCTTGAGCGATCAAGCCTGGTAACCTGGTCCCAAAGCTAAATCATCCTCTTCAGAGAGCATGAATCCAACATCGTTCACCATAAGCTATGGGGAAGATGCTCAAAAAGCTGAATGAAGCCACGCAAACAACCATGTCCTGAGACGTGACAGCCACATGTGCCCGGTGAGCCGCAGGGTCAGAGACAGTCTGTGCCAGCCCTGCGGGGCCGGCGGCATCCCGCCCCCAGTAGGGGGCAGCTGGCCCTGTCTGCCTCCCTTTCCAGAAGCATCCTTGCAGCAGCTGTGGCTTCCGGTGACAAAGGCAGGAGCCCCAGCAGCTTTCGACTTAGGGACAGGAGGACAGAACTCGGTGCGCATCCCCAGGGCACAGCCAAAGCCAATGACCAGGGCGGCAAGCCCAGACCGCAGAGCGGAGGAAGGCCCAGCCCCTGGGCGGCCAGGCTCCGCTCTGCGCTGCCGTCACGAGGCTGGGGGCGGGGTCCCCCCCGACGGCGGGCGGCGAGGGTGGCGCTGCGGCTGTGCTATTGCACGGACGGACGGCTGGCCCACGCACACTAGAGCTCGGCGGGGTCGCTCCCCTGAGCCCTGCTTTGCTGCACAGGGAACTCGGCTCCACCCTCTGCAACAATCTGATGGAGAAAAGAATTCGGTAAAGAGCAGACACAGGTACACGCGTAACTGAATCACTTTGCTGCGCACCTGAGGCCATCCCAGCATCGCTCATCAGTTCTCCTCCAACACAAACTACAAAACGAACAGCCCAAAAGGCCGGCAAGCTGCATACAGGGGGAACTGCCAATTGCAGAGAAGGCGGGGACAAAACATGCTTCCTTCTGACTTATGATGCCGCCACAGGTGCAGGGGTAAGGAACCAAGGGCCATCCTGGTTCTGAAACATTCGAACCTGACCCACCAACCCGCGGAGCTGTGACTCTGAGATGCCTTGGTGTCTCTGAGCTGGAGAGTCTGAGCTGAGACGGTGCAGTGGCGCTCGGACACTGGCCTCCTAGGACAGCATCTCACCTGTCCTTCAGGATCCTGAGCAAGACGGGAGGCTCCCTGTGGGACTTACTGCCAGAGGACCAAGCGCCACAGAGGAGGAAGCAAGGAGGAATTCCGTGGGGTGAGTGTCAGCCAAGGCTGACAAGGCTGCCTTAAAGCTACGATCCCCGAACTCACGAATACAAGCTGGGAACAAGTGAGGGCGGACCTCCACACATCCCGGTGCTCCACCTGTGCACCCCACCATCACGCCATCCCTGAATCACGAATACGAGCTGGGAAGGAGCGTGAGCAGGGCTCCCTGTCCCCCAGCACTCCACCTGTGCACCCCGCGATCACGCCGTCCCTGAACTCACAAATATGAGCTGGGAAGGAGTGTGAGCAGACCTCCCTGTCCCCCAGCACTCCACCTGTGCACCCCGTGATCACGTCATCCCTGAATCACAAATACGAGCTGGGAAGGAGCGTGGGCAGGGCTCCCTGTCCCCCAGCACTCCACCTGTGCACCCCGCGATCACGCCGTCCCTGAACTCACAAATATGAGCTGGGAATGAGTGAGGGCACGCCTCCCTGTTCCCCAGTGCTCCACCTGTGCACCTCCCGCTCCACACTTGTCTCATTTCTTGGGGCTGGTATGTGTCTTTAAGTCACCTTTTCCAAGAAAAATGTTCAGTGTTTTAAAACTTGGTGTTCAGATAGGAGACTTGAAGCCATTTTTTTAGGTATTCCTGTCTTACTTTGAATGGCTGAGGTCTTTCCACTTTACTCTTTTATTTCAACTGAACTATATCGAGCTATAAATTACACCTAACGACATGTACTGATTTAAGTGCAGTGTGATGAATTCTGACAAATACGTACACCTTGTGCAACCAAGCCCTACATTATCATACAGAACCATCTGGCCCCAGCCAGACCACCCTGAGTCTGTCTGTGGCTGTGTCTCCTCCAGCACAGGCTATCTCGGGTCTGACTTCCATTACCACAGATATCTCTGGTTCTTCTAGAACTTCTATGTGCAGAATTGTACAGGAGGTACTTGTGTGTGTAGCTTCATTCTCTCAGCAGGAAGTCAGTGACAGGATCTCCGTTTCTGTGTTTTTCAGCAGAAACTGGGCAAGATTAAGGACCGGAGGAGAAGGGCGACAGAGGATGAGGTGGTTGAAAGGCATCAACAACCCAGTGGACATGAGTTTGAGCAAACTCTGGGAGGCAGTGAAGGACAGGGAAGCCCGGCATGCTGCGGTCCATGGGGTTACAAAGAGTTGGATACGACTGAGCACCTGAATAAGAACAGCAGGTTATTCATTGTCTTCACTGAGAGGCATTCCTGCTTGTGTGAAAGCATTTCTTGCTTCGTTCACCTGTTGAGGGAGATCTGAGTCATTTCGTTTCATAACAAGATAAATAAAGGTGCTGTGCTGGCAGTTAAATCTGGGTGCCAAGTTGGCATTCCTGGGGTTCATTACTTTTCTTTGGCTTGATCGTACATTTGAAGATCTGTGTTGTTCTCTATAACATCACAGACGCCAGGACTGCAGGGCATCCAAGCTCGTGCTCTTCTCAGGTTTTGTTAAATATCTAGAAGGCTGAGAAGAAGACAAGACTTCCTTTCCTGTGTAGCGTGGGGTCAGTGATCACTATAAACAGTCGCTTCCTCTGGAATCCTGAATGCGCTCACCTCGTACATTCAAGTATCTCCCAATGACTCAGAACAGCAGTGCATTCACACTGACTCCTGGTGCTGGAGGTGTTTGTTAGGAAGATGCTTTCTCAAGACAAATGCCGCACGAAGAGACACCACGCGACTCACCGACAGCCTCCTGCAGGCTTCCGGCTTTCCATCACTCAAGCAGAGAAACATCCATCTCGGAGGCAGGTGTGGAGTGGAGACCTGCCCCTGGTGACATCAGAGGTCCCAGTGCCGGGTGCCCTACCTGCTTCCTCAAGTCTTGGGGGCCATGGGATCACATGTGAGGTGGGCAGGAAAGGAGTCCCCGCCTCGGGAAGAGTTTCCTGAGTTACCCCCTCTCGTTTCCTCCCTTTCTAAAAGGCTCTGTAGTCAGTAAGAAAGGAGATGGCTCTCCACTGCACCCGGAGGCCACCCTGGACTGCTGCCCCGAGAGGGTGAGCCCCAGGACACATCCAGCCTTTCCTGAGGACAGGGACCTTTCCTTTCCACAGGGACCACCCAGAACCCAGGGTCCCTGCCAGACGAGCGGCCAGTGGAAGACATGTTTCGTATCGTAATAGTCCCAGGGGCTGAGAATACATCTCCCCAGCCAGTCACCCGCGCTGCTGGGAAAAGTCTTCCACACATTAGGACACAGGGCATCTCATAGAAAGTCTCTGGGGAGTGGCCATCACATCGGACTGTCCCCCAGGGATGGGGCTGGGAGCCTGGGCTGCCTGCAGCATCCAAACTGGATGTGAAGCTGGCGCCCATTGATGTCGGGGGGATGGGAGAAGAAACAGATGCCAGGCGCCGGAGCACAGCTTTGGGGGTGACAGGGTGCCCTGCTCATGCCGGGAGCTGGAGGCACCACCAGAGGCCGCAGTGGGGAGTGTGAGAGAGTGGGGCCTGGAGAGAGGAGGGGCACAGCCTTACTGCCAGCTGGCCCCAGGCACCAGACAGTCCCCGGCTGAGTGCCCAGGTGTCCAGAACAGACTGGTAGACCATCCACTTAGACCTGAAGTCTAAGGATGATGGGGGCCAGGGCCCCAGCCCTGGGCAGCGAGTGGGGGTGCCTCTAGGCCCAACAAGTGGGCGCTTGCAGGAGGGAAGCACTCTGGGGGCTCTGCAAGGAGACCTGGGAGCCCCTTAGGGAGAAAGAGCCACGACCTCCCGCTGTCCCAGGGAGGCCTCGAGGCTGGTGCAGCCGGGCCGGGGCCCCGATACAGCGGCTGTGGCCTCTACAGGCTTGGCGGGCGTCGGTCCTGAGCTGCTCTGTGCTTGCTCCCGACGGTGGGAATGTCCCTCGCAGACGGGAAGCAAGTGCTTCAGGCCCTGGGGGTTGAGAGGCATCCACTTCTCCCCAATTCTGCTTTAAACAGACCCAGAACTAAAATACTTCTGCAACAGAGCTCCAGCTTTCACTACATTTCCAGGGCTAATTTTCTTTGAGAAAGCCACCTGTCCAGATGGACTGGCATTAATTAAACACGCCCGCATCTGACTCTCAGGGCCCAGCCCTTCCTGGACAGCTGGACTGCCCTATGTGACCCCCGGCAGAACAAGTATATGTGGACAAGACACCCTGGAATCCTCGCATGGCAGCAGGTTCCGTGTGACTCCTGTGAGCCGGGCTACTGACAGGTCACCAGGTCACGGGGACCAGTGACAAGTGCATCTTAGTAAAGTAACTTGTGAATTCAGGCAGGTTTGCACAGATGTTCATATGGTCTACAGAAGTGCCTAACCCTAATCAAGCGTGTTTCTCACTAAAATACTTTGCTTTCTCTCCAATGAGCATGTCTTAAAGATATCAATGAGACATCAAATATTAATTATTATTGAGGGAGAAGGGTCACTGTCAAATATTTTCCTGCAGCGAAATTAAGATACACATCTCAGGAATGAAACAGCAGTGCTATGCTGTATGGTCTCTGCATGCCACAAAAATATGTAAATAATTTTTCTATTTGAATTTGGTATATTTTGAGTGTTAATGTCTACTTTGTTATTTTAATGAAATTAATTCATTTTGTGAAGACAGCTGAGTATCTAAATTAAGTCTATACATTTTAAAGTGTTACAGTAATACAATAATTTAAAAGCAGATCAACATATCTGATAGCAGATTACTGTTATATTCTTCTAATTGAAACCATTATTAGGATTATCAAATAGCATTATCATAATAATGAGAAGTCATCATTATGATGATAAGATTAAAAACATCTCATGAAACATGAACGGTGGAGTAAAAACGGGGCCTGATTCTTAGACTCTTCATCAGGAGGTTATCTGGAAGACAAGTGAAGTCTTTACAGCTATCAGAATCTACTCAAGACAAAGGTCAATAAACCACCGAAGCGCATGATGAAAATAAGAGAGGAGCGTGCAAACACTATTTTTAGAAAAACACGGTATCTTTACAGAGGACTAGGGGCGTCAGAGATGACACAAGGCCCTGACGTGACCCGACGACCCATCAAGCTAAGGCACTAACGTGAGCAGAGGTGCCTCACTTGCTGGGCCAAGACTGCCGGGAGCAGAAGTGGTCGGTGGGAAACAGAACACAGAAGTCACGCGAGCGGAAAGTGGCTCCTGAGCTTCATGAGAGGAAAGCAGACATTCTGCGAACATCCACGCTGGGCTGGCACCTGCCAACCTAACTCAAGCGACCGCATTACTTTCCACAGACTTCCCTCCTTTAAACTCCACACCCTTCTGGGATCACTCGTGCTTCCCCTCCTGAAATCTGGCCTTTAGAAATTCTGCTCGGGAAAGCCTGTGAGTGACAGGACTCTTTCAGATCCTCTTCCTATTACAAGTCTTTATTTTTACTTGTTCTGGAAATACGCTTTTGCGAGGAATGCAAAGACAGACTGACAGTGCTGGCTCTTGTCTCCACGATTCTGAAAACATTATTTATTGGGCTGCTTTGTAGCTTCCACTGTCACCACTGAGAAACACACTGTTAATGAGGGTGTCCTTCTGCGTGGGTGGCCTATGTTTTCGCTGGTGGATTTTAAGATCGACTTTCAGCCACAAAGTCAGAGAGGTGAGTATGACTCTACATGAAGCTCAAATACAGATAAAATGAATCTACAGCAACTGAGGTCAAAACAATGGTAATTTTTTGAGGGGGAGGTAGTCTGAGATTCTGGTGATGTGCTATATTCTGACCACGGTGCTGTAACATTTATTGAGCTGTTATTTCAAAGTTGTATACTTCTCTGCATGTGCCTTATGTTTTAATTAAACTTTAAATATCATTCTATCGTTCACTCGTTGATTATCTCTGCCTCCCTTCCATCTAGAAGACACAAGTCATTGTTTGACTTACGTGTTTATTTGTTTAACATTTTTAAATGTATTTCATTTTAATTACTTATTCTTTTTACATCTGCTTTTCATTTGCAACCACGATTTATAAGCTTCTTATGTGCTTCCTTATAATTTCTGTAAAATTCTGTTTCAATTTTGGGCTTCAGTATATTGTTCCTGTACACTTCTGAGTCATTCAGTTCTTTGCAATGACCCTAGTCTTTTGCATTAATCTTCTGAAAATTTTAACTTAGAAAATCAGGTACTTATCATCATAAACTCTTTGTTCTTTAATTTGAGCTCTTTATTCATCTGCCACAGGTGTGCCGGCACCCAGAGACCCTCAGAGGCCCAGGTCAGCAGCCAAGCTCCAAGCTCGTCTGGTGAAAGCACCAGTCATTTCCCCGGAAAAAGGAAAACAGTTCTGGACGATCAAGTCATCCAGGAGTAACCCCTCTGTGTTTCCTCGGTGAAGGAAACATGAGCACTGACCAACCAACAGGGGTCCAGGACAGAGCATGCAAGGGTGTGGACGGGCCCGACGAGGTTCAGGTTCAGGTCTGGGTGGGCGGCACCGGTGTGACCCAGACTCCACTTGTTACAAACATTCGGCCGGGATCGGGACCTGATAAGGTCGCTGGTGTGATCGAGACTCCGCTTGTTATAAACGTTCGGCCGGGATCTGGACGTGAACAAGGATGGACCTGGAACACTAAGCGGCGTGAGCCGTCTCCCAGGCCTGGAAGAGAACACGGAGCCTGGGGTGAAGCCCTGAGCAGACTCCTGCTCACCGAGGGGCGGGCAGAGGAGCACCCAGGCGGAGAGCGGCTAATGATTCGGTTCTGCGTGCGAGCACAGGAAAGCTGTCACACACACAAGGCAATGCCAGGAACGGCTCGGGACGCGCATACAGTCGGTTAAACAGGAGGCAGGAGACGCGCGCTTACTGTGTTGCTGGAGGATCCGTTCAGATGCAAACCGCTGTCGAAGAAGGGCGAGGAGGCCCCACTGCCCGGCTGGCTGGACGGTCCCGGCGACCCTGTGAACAAAACAATGTGCTGCAGATGGGGCTCCGGGGGGCTGCCTGCAGGTCCACGCAGCGGGGAAGCAGACGGGAACAAGGATGCACTTGGAACCCCAAGTGGGGTGTGCCATCCCCAGGTCTGCAAGAGAACAGACTAGCCCTGGGCTGCAAGCCAGCGTGGGCCTCACCCCGCTGCATGGCCACCCGTCTGGGGTCCGCAGGAAGCGAGGCAGGGGGCAGGCAGGCTAAGCCTTTCCCCAGGCCCAGGGAGACAGCGGCTGCTCCCGGCCCATCCCCAGCCCCCACGGCTTCACAAACCGACACTCCCCACCGCTAGGATAACGATGCTAATTTCCTGTTATTCTTGACTTTCTGATGATAACTTGGATATTATTTCTTTGTCTGACATGTTCTGATTATCTTTCACTGCAAACTGCTTTAGTGAAAACTAGGAAGACAAAGAGGAGAAGGCAATGGCACCCCACTCCAGTGCTCTTGCCTGGAAAATCCCATGGACGGGGAGCCTGGTGGGCTGCTGTCTATGGGGTCACACAGAGTTGGACACGACTGAAGAGACTTAGCAGCAGCAGCAGCAGCAGGAAGGCAAAGAAGGTGAGTTTAAGGAAAGCGGTATTTGTAAAAAGAGGAAGCAGCTCTGGACTCAGCAGAGAGCCACGGCTGGGCCTGGAGCGCAGACCCAGGTGGACGGAGCGGCCAAGTCAGCGTCCATCTGGAGCTCTCTGTCCACTCTCAGCAAGCTGAGGGGCGGAAAGGACTCCCTGTGTCCCCCCAGCCCGTGGGCCTGTCCCCACACGTCCCCCACAGCCCGCCCCTGTGGCCCTGGGTGGTCAGGGGGCAGCAAGGGGCAGAGTGAGACCAGTGCTCACTGCGCGTGGACACAGGTGTGGCCACGAGTCCCAGGCCACGTCAGCCCCGTGTCCGGACCCCTCCCCAGACCAGGTGCCAGTGGCCCCAGGACCCAGGAGCCACCACGGTCAGGCTCACCCCCTGCTCCTCCCAACACAGTGGGCACTCTCGGGAGAAAGCCAGGGACCCCGCCTCTCCTGCTCTCAGAGGCGACGGGAAGGGCCCCGCGGGTCATCCAGGGTCAGAGCTGGTGCCTGCCTGGGTCACAGGTCCTTCGTTTTCCTTTAGCTTCAAGAGTTCTGAGGCCAACATTAGCCATCAAAAGCCAACTACTGGGGGAGAAGTGGTATTAGGCAAAAACTCCAGACCAGCTGGGAAGCCAAGTCTGACAGGCACATGGGTTTTGTTTAATCAAAACCAAGACACAGCTTTAAAATCCAGATTTCCCAGTTTCCTGAAAAGTGACAAAACCTGACTCTGTGGGGGAAAGCCCCCAAGTGACAGGAACTGGCCAGAGCTGAGGGGAGTCCAGCGGGGCCCCACGCTGCCCTCGTCCCAGCCCTCAGACGGGGCTGCGAGCACCAGCATGCCCCTGCCGGGGAGCAGGATGCACACAGGTCCCTCACGTGTCACCGGCGTCTGCATCGCGGAGGACGGAGCTGACAGCCCAGCAACGATGCTACAATTACTCCTTCGAGACACAAGCCTCCGGTGTGGTGGTTATGGATCATCACCACCAGTTCACAGGTGAGGAAATTTAGTGGACATCGTGCAAGTTACTTCTGCAATCTTGGTTTTCTTCTTGAAAAGTCAGGAACCCGTTTACAGGCTCGCCCTCAAAGCGCCTGGCACAGTTTGGGTGAAGCAGGTGCCCCATCACCCCGGTCTCCCTTCAAACACTAGACTGCACACCCAGAGCTTTAACGGGCTCGAGGGAACCTGGTGAACTCAGGGGTCTTCACACCAACGCGTCCAGGCCGTCAAGGAGCAGCGCCAAGAGTGAGGCTGTGTTCCTTCACGCCCTGACCATCCCAGCCGAGGTTTTACGGCCAGAAGACAAGTGTGGGCAGCCTGTCTGTCTGCTCCCTCTGGAATAACGGGACGCACACAGCATCCTGACCATGGGAATCCCTGCTTCTGAAGAGGCTGCAGGCGTGTTACACGGCAGGACGACTCAGGAAAAATAACAGGTGAGGAGGAAGCTGTCGGTCCGTGAGCCCGCCCCACTTACCTAAGGGGAGCTTCAGAAACGATGGTGCTTCCCTGAGATACTCGACAGTGATGGTCACCTCATCGCCCGCGTTTTTCAGAAGATGCACCTGTCAGTGTGACACAGGACGGCCATGTTACCACGACAGAGGGACCTCGGAAATAACGCTCGCGCCCCCACCAGGGCTTCCCGGGTAGCTCGGCCGGTAAAGAGCCCGCCCGCAATGCCGGAGACCCGAATTCAAGCCCCGGGTGGGGAAGATCCCCTGGAGGAGGAGTATTCTCCAGTATTCTCGCCTGGAGACTCCCATGGACAGAGAAGCCTGGCGGGCTACAGTCCATGGAGTCGCAAAGTCAGACACGACTGAGCGATGAACACTTCCGCTTTCGCTACACGCTTCGCCTGTCTCTCGAGGAGCCAGCGTTCACGGTTACCTCTGAGACTCTGGAAGCTCCGCAAGCCTCGCCTGGGGGGACAAATGGACGCGGTGTGTCCCCAGGTACACGGCTCCGCGCCTCGTCCACACACAGGTGCACCCATCAGCCCGGATCCAAGGCCAGGCTCCCCGCACACTCGACACACCCCACCCCGAAACCAAAGTCGCGGGAGAAGCCCACGCGAGGTGCCAATCGCAGACACTGGCACACACGCCGGCGCGTCAGCTCTGACGCTGCAAGCTGAAAGCACGAGCTTCAGACTTCAGACCACGCTTTAGTTTGGAGAAACCGAGAGCATCACGTCACCCTGCTCGGTTACCAGGTCCCCCACCCCCAGATTCGGGCCCTTCAGCTGCAGCTACAGACAGCTCCCCACTTTAGCTCTGGAGACAGCTTTGAAAGCCCGACGAGTTTCCCGTCAGTTGGGCCAACTCGATCCAGACACAGCAGACGCAGCCCAGAAATAAGAAGCCGTAAGCGTCCTGCCCCGGCCCCCTCGGGCACGTCCCCGATGCCTCCATGCGACCTTGGTCCCAGGCAGGGCACCCCGCCCAGCCCTCACGTACACAGGCACCTGCCTCTGCCTGGAGAACGCAGGAGTGCCTTTACCCTCACCCGGGGATGCTCCCGCACCCCCAGACCCCGACGTCCCCCCCGCCTCGGCCTGTGAACCCCGCTGACACCCGAGCCCGGGTCAGCTGAGCGAAGGGAGAGCAGGACGGCACCGCGAGCATGAGATGGACACTCTGCTCGGACAGCCCAGCGGCTGGGGCTCGTCTGGGGCCACCCTCCGCCCCGCCCGAGGCCCCAGGGATAGGAACGCGCCACCTCAGCCCCTCCCAGCTGACACCTGTGTCCTGGGACAAGTGGCCCTGGGCGATTCTGATCAAAGCGCAGGGTCACCACACTCTCTCCTCCCACAGGGCAGTGAAGGGACCCCTGGGCAACACCCTACCCTGTGGGTGTGGGTGTTGTGAGGGTGGGGGCCCACCCGGGGAGGGCACGGCCCCCACAGAAGCTGCGGGTCCTTGGCTCAAGGAGTTTGACACTGAACACCCAGGCATCCCCTGAACCGCAAGAGCCTAAGATCTGTGACTCTCAGGGTCAAGTTCACCCACTGCTTCTGTCATGCAGATCTGCAAGTGTGTGCATGCACACACGCGCGCACACGCATGCACACACACACGCGCGCGCACACGGGGCACATGCACACACATGCACGCGCACACGCACGCACACACGCGTGCACGCACATGCACACATGCGCACACACACGGGCACACGCGCGCACACACACGCGCACATGCACACACACACATGCACACGCGCACACACACCTGGAGAAACATACAACCAGTCTCAGCTCCCACAGGACACCTACCAAACGCAGGTTTGATCTGCTGAGTGACCAGTGTGACCACCCGCAAGATGCTGGGAGCGGGGGTTCAGGGCCAGGCTGCGGCTTGGAACCTGGAAGATTCTGTTTCTACCAGGGAAGGCTTTATTTCTAAGGGTTCGTGAGTTCAAAACCAGCAGCACTCAGGATCTGGCCTGAGACCTTAGCATTAACAAAGCAGCCATGCATGACTAAAACACGCATAGAAAAGAACCCATTTCAACTCGAAAAGGAGGCCTCACGAATGAGTCAGTGCCTTTTTATTGATTATGGCAGTTTTTTAAATCAATGGCTCTCATAGCACCTAAGACCCTGGACTGCCATACCAGACTAGATGTGAATTTAACATTTGAGATTTAGGAAAAAAACCTGACCTTGCTGCATAGAAACACAGTTCTGCACCATCACTCAGGCTGGTGTCTTCGGAAGGGGCTCCGAGGCAGACACGTGGGACTGGGGGTCCCGCTGCGGGGAGGGAGGCGTCACCACCTCCCTGCCATCACTAACCTCTGCATGCAGGCCAGACTGAGCAATTTTCCAAACATTGATTTTCCTTCCTCTCTGAATGGTGAGAGGTCTCAGAATTTGCTGAGTAAGATTAAGGGAAGCTCCCTCTCGGCCAGGTCTGCTGTGATGTTATGTGTCCATGTGGATGGGGACACAGGGCTCAGTAAAAAGCAGGACATAAACACCTTTTTGTCACTCTAAAGTAGTAAGGCTTTTCCAAAGCAGGAGACAAGATGCAGGGTGAGGTTCATTCTGTGGATCTTTTGTGTTGAGCAGAACTGCCTTTTTTCCTTTTAGTAATAATTGAATCTAGAATTTACTCTGAAAAATGAGGGTGTGAAACTGTGTAATTTATGAGGTCTTCTACAAATTTAATATTTTTATGAATTTCATGAACCTGAAAAGCTGAGATCGTGTATGTCATTAGCCTTGCTGATTCAAGCATGGCTTTTGTATCACATAAGACTGTGGACTTATAATTTGATACTTTGGTCCAAAAAGTATATTTATATTAGTCAAATATTGGAATACCTCTGTGTATTAAGTTTACACATCTTTTACTCAAAAGCTTTTCTTTTGGGTGAACGCTTTTCACTTCCCCAGGGCTGGGATAAAGTTACCTAGCTGTGCGCTGTTTCTTTTTGAATTACCGTGTGTATTCCCACCTTAAGAAAGCAAGCTTTTGCAGAAATTGATAAATAACACAAGTTTTAGGTTTAGGAAGTAAATTATATGTCATCCATTTGAACCTAAACCTTAAACTACATGTCCCATCCAGCCCACAGATCTTACCTCCATGCCTGGAGAGAGTTAAAGGAATTCTTCTCTTAGTAATGAACCACTAATATGCTGCACTGTGGAGCCTGACCTGACCTTGGTTAAGGTTCACATCTGGAAAGGTGCTGGGGCAGAGACTGTGACCCCCAAGTCCACGGGCCAGCATCTCAGACATGCACCAGGGGTGAGCTTCCCGGGGTGTCCTCCACAGTGGATGAGCACGCAAAGCCAGAGGTACCCTCAAAGGCTCCACACAAGCCACCCAGGAGGGCTCCCCACTCCCTGAATTTCAGTCCCCATCTTCAAAATAGGAGCCACCAAATCTACCTTTCACGGCATCCGAGAGGCCCCTATGAACACATGCATGAAATGCACATACAGAAACGAAATAACCAGAATAAGAGAATATCTAATAAAAAGAACAATATCCATAAAAAAAATCACACACTTACCACTTCTTTGTGGGTTGCACTTTCTACATTAATGCCGTTAACCTGAAAAGATGACAAATTAAGAATTTTAAGGATAATAATTCATGAGTCTCAGTTCAGAACTAACAGGAACTAACATGCAACAGAGCTGAGGACTGAAGTTCAAGATACTGACCTGGAGCAGGGCGTCCCCTACGAACAACATCCCTGTCTGGTCGGCTGCAGGGTCGTAAAAGGGGCAACAGTGTTAACAGAGACTCAGAGACATCAAGCTGCTTGTGGTGGCTGAAGCAGAGTCTGCAGCAACTGGTGTGTGAGTGTGCATGCACGTGGATGTGGGAGCCTGTGTGCGTGAATGCGTGCATGCGTGCACATGGGTACATGTGTCAGTGTGGGTAGTTGCATGTGTGTAAGTGTGTGCACGCATGTGGATGTGCATGTGGGGGGGTCTGTGCATGTGGGAACAGGTATGCACACTGAGTATGAGTGTGTGCACATGTGTGACCATGCATGCATGCATGTAGATGTGTGAGCATGTGGGAGTCTGTGTGGGTGAGTGTATCTATCTGTGTACACATGTGCATGTCCATGCACACACATGCATGTGTGGCTGTGTGACATGTGAGCGCGTGTGTCTGTGTGCGTGTGCACGTGTGTATGTGGGTGTGGGGAAATGCGGCGGCACAGCACCAGCCCCTCCAGGGCAGCCTCACATTCAGCCGATTTCAAGCACATTGAGAGAGTTACTTAGATGCAGAGCCTTGTTCAATGAGAAGCACAAATGAAGGATTTCATCACACATGTGGAAAGCCTGATCCCAATTTTCCATTAAGTCAACACAGACAATAAAATAGGAATTCTAGAAGTCCCTTAGGATTTCCCCCTCTTTCTTGGGAACACATTTACACAGACTATTTTAATTAAAGGGAATGTGCCCAGAATATTAAAGGAAAAAGGAAAGAAAATCTTTGCATTGTACAGTTTGAGTACAAGCTCTATAGCATAGTTCCACTTAATTTTTCTATTATTATAGGGGAAGAAAGAAACCTCCTTTTAACATGACTGAACAAATTTGCACCAAATATAAAGCATTTTGCAGTGTAAACCCTGACAGCTGTCTTTTCTTTAATGCAAGTGCCTGACTTCGGCTCTGCTCGCCCAGGGACCCCCTCTGAGGGGCCCAGCTCATGACAACATGCTGTCGTCCACACAGGAGACAGAGCTGGAACCCCCACCCCTGCACCTCGCCGGCTCCGATGTTTGAGAGATCTGGGTTGATTTCAGTAACTGATCATTTGGGCCACTTGTTTTTGCTCTTCCTGGGCTTTAAATTCCTGCTCTTGTGTTTAAATTCACCAACAAAGAGGGATCCCTGGAAAACAAGCCCCCTCCCACCTCAGGGAAAACAGGACCCAGGCCCCTCTCTCTCTGCCGGCGACCTTGGTCTCTCCACGTGACCAGGTCTGCTGCGTTATTTCCAGGTCCCATCAGTAGAGAACCTCTGTGTTCTCAAAGTCCTCCCATGGTTACTGCCGAAGGCGTCTTGCAACCACAGTCAGAAACAGCAGGACTGGTGCAGCCACAGCACAGGTGAGTGACGGCCTGAGACCCACACAGAGCACATTTTCACAGGTATCTTTTGCCTTCATCTAGATTTATTTTATGTCTTTGGTTAAATATTGAAAACCAACTAACAGGCTATTCTTTTAACAGCAGCATTCTTTAAATTCCAGAAAAATATTTAATGTCAATTGTTAATATTACTTCTAGTCATTAACTATATTAAATTTTCTTGAAAATAAAATACAATCTTTATACCACTAAACGCAATGGTTATTTGTAGGTAACTAATGAAGTTACTATTTACAGAGACTTTGCCCAGAAAACCTTCATTGCCCATTAGATGAGACCTACTGATGGAGACCTCTGTCTCTCTATCTCTCTGTCTCTCTCTCTCCATCATTTAAAAAAGTCAATTTAAAAACTTTCCAATTAAATCTTTGAAGTGCTGTCCCTTTGATGGACACTTTTAGTCCTAAAAATCAAATTGGTGGTGATGATTTAGTCGCTGTGTCTGACTCTTGGGACCCTATGGACTGTAGACCACCAGGCTCTTCTGTCCATGGAATTTTCCAGGCAAGAATACTGGAGTGGGTTGCCATTTCCTTCTCTAGGGGATCTTCCTGACCCAGGGATCAAACCCACATATTCTGCATTGCAGGCGGATTGTTTCCTGACTGAGCCACCAGGGAAAGTGGTAAAATGGATGATAAAACAGTATCATGGAAGTTTGATTTTAATTTAAAATTTTAATTAATGTTCCTAAATAAAATGAACTTTTTGGTCAGATTAAGACAGGTTAGTGGATTTCAGTTGAAAGTGGCTCCAGCTTATTTCTGTGGTAACCTTGTCATTACATCAGGATGTAAAATGGAAAAAGAGCATAATATATTTTAATCCACATAAATATTCAAACATGAAAACTAGCTACAAGGAGATATTCTATATTCTGTTATACTTGCCTTTTCAAGTCAAATTAATTGCTATCACTAGTGTTATGTGAGGTTATGCAAATTTAATCATTCATTGCAATACAATTGTGTTATAACAGAAATAATTTGTTTTTTCTGCAAACTAATTACTAAGATTCAGACATGTTAAATATTCATTCACGTGAACTTCTGGGGAATATTAGAAAATGATAATACCTCCTAAAGTCTTGGTATTAACTGCACTGAGAATCTGGGTTAATAATGGGGGAAGCCCAGAGTTTCTGGTGTCTCAGACCCACTTCATCGTCCTTCACAAGCGCCGAGTCCTTTGCGCCTAGGACCAGTCAGCGTGGGCACGGCCGTCGCCCAACAGGGGTCACGGGTGGTGCGCTCACAGGACCGGGGTTGACACGACCCGGGCTGAGCCCCTGCCCGCCCTGAACTCCCAAGGAGCCCTGCTTCCCGACACACGTTCCGCCTCCACGCAGCACGGTGGTGGGTTTTATCCTGAAAAACAGTGTGGGACACTCAGATCCAAAAGCAAGGGTCTGGGGAGCACTGACTCATCCCCACATTTGCATGGATGTCTTGTGCGGTCACAGGCCAGCCTGAAATAACCCGAACAATCCTGGCTCCCCAGACAAGCAGACACCTGGTGTCCCCTAGGAGGAGGCGGCCTTCCGCCACACAAGCGTCACTTCAGATCAGAGGGGTGAGCTATCAGAAAATGTTATGTATACCTCCACACTTACTGCAAAGACTTATGTGATCTGTTAGCTCCTTTGTTGTAAAAGCTCTTTGGTCCTCACTGTAATGCCCAGAATTGCCAGCGCTGGCTACTCCAGCCATGGTCCAGTGACCCAGAGTTGGAGGAGAAACTGCCTTTCACAGACCTGAGCGCCCAGAGCATCCTTCCGCCGTGTGGTCACACCTCAGCGTTGGCAGGGTCTGCTGTTTATGAACCACAGCATCCTGTTCTGGAATTTACCACCAGGTCTCATGTGTCAGTTACCTCTTGCTCTTGGTGAAGAATGACCTAAGCTGACTATTTAGCCATTTTAGACCACCTGAAGTTTACACATTGTGAGCAGATAAGAGTGCTAGCACACGCATCTAAGGCGATCCAGATGAGCTTTTCCTCCAGTAAGCTGGGGTTAAGGTAACTCACCCAGGAAGCCTGCCCTTCAGGGCGGAGGTCACCAGCAGCCTGAGCACATGGTGCTGCAAGATGATCAGAAGTGGGGAGACAGAGACCATGACCCAGAGGCGCCGAGAGACAGGGCGCTGGGGGTGGGGAGGGGGCGGGGAAGCCCTCATCCAGCCTCCTGTCACACACTCTTGGCTCAGAACGGGAGAAAACGCCACCAACTTTGGAAACAAAGATGACACAGTCCGAAGAGTTGTGCTGAGGTTCTGCCCTCAGAGGACACACAGGATGTGTGCAGCCCTGCGGCCAGCAGACTTGGGAGGGACGCCCGCTCGGACCCACACAGCGGAGAGTTTTAAGTAAACAGTCTGCAGGATGTGCACCCAGCCCAGCCGCTGGGGCTGCAGGCGGGAGTGCTGAGGTGGCTGCCTGCAGGGGGTGGGGGGGGGATGAGGAAGCCCCTGCCCCGCCTGTGATTGTCTTTTTGCAGCAGATGGCTGTCCTGGTGGGGGGGACTTGGTGGCAGGCCTGGAGGACCAGCGTTCTGGGCTCCTTGACAGCTGACTCCCGTGGGGAGAAGCCTCCGGGGACAGGGTGGGGAGGGTGGTGGGCAGCTGGGCAGAAGCTTCGGGTCCTGGCATCACAGCAGCTCCCCCACAGGCTCTGCACTGCCCACCTGACCCCCTGCCAGGGTCCTACCCGGCTCCGCGAGGCTCTGCCTGGTGACCTGCAAGCTGCTATCCAGAGCCTGCTCCTGGGGCTTCTCCAGTCCGGTCTGTGGGGCGCTCAGTCTAGGGAGCACTGGCTCTGTCCTGGGTCCTGAGCAGAGACCCACCCAGGCCCTCGGGGGTCGTCACCAAGGTGATGAGCTCCCCTCCCAAGGAGTCATACCTGACCCCCTGCCAGGGTCCTACCCGGCTCCGCGAGGCTCTGCCTGGTGACCTGCAAGCTGCTATCCAGAGCCTGCTCCTGGGGCTTCTCCAGTCCGGTCTGTGGGGCGCTCAGTCCAGGGAGCACTGGCTCTGTCCTGGGTCCTGAGCAGAGACCCACCCAGGCCCTCGGGGGTCGTCACCAAGGTGATGAGCTCCCCTCCCAAGGAGTCACCAAGGGGGCTGAACCACCATCAGAGCAGCTGCGGACCAAAGGGCTGGGAGGTCAATACAGTGAAGTCGCTCAGTCGTGTCCAACTGCCTGCGACCCCATGGACTGTAGCCCAGCAGGCTCCTCCATCCACGGGATTTTCCAGGTGAGAGTACTGGAATGGGCTGCCATTTCCTTCTCCAGGGGATCTTCCCGACCCAGGGGGTGAACCCAGGTCTCCCGCATTGCAGGCAGATGCTTTACCGTCTGGGCCACCAGGGAAGCCCTGGAAGGTCAATGATACACTTTTAAAAACAAACATTCTCTTCACTTTAAGAGAAAGTCTAACCACAGGCACCGCCGGGATGGGCCGTGAACAGGGGCGTTCCTTTAAGAGGTCGCCCGCTTCCTCAAGCCTGGAGCGCGTACGTACGTGGACTCCTCGGGGGACGGGGCGGGTACGTGGCCCCAGAAGGAACGCAGAGGCAGGAGCTGCCGTGTGGATGGAGGAGACAGAACCAGAGGGGAGGCAAGGACCAAGCGGAAGAGAAAGCGTCACACTGAGTCAGACAGAACAATTAACGAAATCTCACGGGTGTGGCAAGCGCATCGCCAGTCTCGTCCAACAGCAGCGTTTCATGGCAGTGAGACCCGGAACACAGATCAGGGAGCTGCAGAAAAACAGGCCTCGGGGGCCCCACACCCCAGGAGGCCCCGCGGTGCCCCTGGGCTCCGTTCCACAGATCTCGAGGCTGTGGCTCCAGAAGGCAAAGGGTGACAACCGCGTGCCCAGGGCCGATGTCCGGCCGACGTGGGAAGCCCCCGTCCTCACTGAGGGGGTCCCTGTGATGGCCCCGCCCTGACCCCGCGGCAAGGACAGTGAAGGTCAGCGGGGCACATGACCTCCCTGTGTCCTTCCCTCCAGCTCCAAGGCTGGCGCCCCAATGTGGCCCAGGTTCTGGAACATTCTCCGGACAGCAACCCAAGCGGTTTTTTATTATTTAATTTAAAACAGACCTTTTGACCCTGCTTTGGACGGTCCCAAATGACCCCTCTTGGACCCCTCACTCCCTTACTCATAAACAAGACCCAAGTCCCTCTCCAGGATGAGAGCCCAGGCCCTGCCCCAGTCTCCCATGCCTCCTCACCTCCCCAGCTGCCCTCCTCCACTGGCCTTCCCTGTTTCTGAGCAAACGGGCCCATCGACCCTTCATCTTGCATCCTTTCTGAGTCTGGGATGCCACCTGGCAGGGCATGCTCATCCCTCACTCTGTTTGATTCAAGTATTTGCTTAAGCGTTACCCACAAAGAGATTTCCGCTGACCACCCTGTGACAGCAGAGACGTTCTGCCCGCTGCTCGGCACGCCCCAGCGTCATCTAATTGTCTTCATGGCAGTGGTCACTATTTGAATGTGTATATGATCTGGTCACTGACGGCCAGTTTTCCCCACTGGACACAAGTGTACGTGGGCAGTGTCTGCCCAGAATGCCCAGAAGCGTCTGATCCATACAAGCTGTTCATCGAGGGCAGGTGGGTCGGTCTGCAGATAAATAACTGAATAAACGGTTTTATATTCTGCTCTGACCTCCTCTGAAACTCCAATACTTTGGTCACCTATTACAAAGAACTGACACATTTGAAAAGACTCTGAAAGACTGAAGGCGAGAGAAGCGGTCAACAGAGGATGAGATGGTTGGATGGCATCACCGACTCGATGAACGTAAGTTTGAGTAAACTCCGGGAGTTGGTGATGGACAGGGAGGCCTGGCGTGCTGCAGTCCATGGGGTCGCAAAGAGTCGGACACGACTGAGCGACTGAACGGCGCTGAACTGAACAGTTTGCAGCCGCCCAATCCCTAAATGCAACGCCAGGTGGATGTCAGACCGCGGACCCCTCTGGTCCCCACGTGAGAGCGGGAGAGAAGCCTTCCAGCTTCAGGTTTCCTCTGGGGTGACCGCGAACCTGCCTCCTCAGGGAGGGGACCAAGCCAGGGCAGCCCTGCGGGAGGGTCCGCGGCCCCTCCCCTGAGAGTCTCATCCCCCGGCCCCACCCCTGACGGTCTCACCCCCCCACCGGCACCTCCCCTGATGGTCTCACCCCCCCG